TTTTGTGATTTAAAAAGTTAAATATTTTTATGTAAAACCAGCAATATTTGGGATCTCTTAATTAGTGTCAGTGACCATGCAAGCCCACAAGGAAATAGAACATCTATTTTATGCAATAATCGAATCTTACATTCAGAAGATACCTATGAAACCATCAGCTAAGCTTCTCTAATCCTGTAGCATTGGGGTTGGAATGGGTGGGAGTGATGGGGTGGTACAGGGACAGGCTCTGAGACCCTCTTCAATCAGAACAGCCAGGCTTTCATCTATTGCCCTCATTGACTTCTAAGAAACAGTCCCTTTAAACATAGATTGAAGCCGCTCTTTTAAAAATTATGTGTCTGTTTTAAATCTTGACTTATAGACAAGGAGGTGGAATTCAGTGAGGTTAAGTGATTTGGCCATGATCACATACTTTGGCAGTGGCAAAATCAGGACTGAAATCCAAGTTTGCTCTCTCTACAGTGGTCTGAAACTCTGATGTTTGTGTCAGCTGGAGCAATATCCTAATGATTCAATTATGTCTTTTTCCTTCCCACTTCCTAGCTCTGAGAAATATTAACCCTAGTTAATTAGAGAATCAGAGAGAGGTTTCTGCATCGGGAAAGGAGTGTTACTCCACGTGCTTGCCATTGTTGCACGTGTTACCCCAGGATCTCAGCTTACCTGATATTGATGGTCATGAATTCATAGAGTACCTTCTTTCCAACTCACTTTATGACTCTCTAATTTGGTTCATAATTTTAATTAGGCAATTATAAATTTTCTATTCTCCTATCGTTTGTTATCCCTTTTTACCCATTATAGATGTCTAATATTGGCCCTGTTATATTGGACCTAGTTAGGACTTGTTCTGTTTTGTTTTCTTTATCTGCTCTCCTTTCTCTTTTCTCATTCCTATTGTTTGGTGCCAGCATATCTGATGTCTCTGGTCAGAGGGACAAGGAGATTTGGCAAAAAAGAAGTCAGTCAGGAAGCAAATCTGGAAAATGACCTAAAGGCCTTTGTTGACTTGGAAGAGAAAAAGTGGAGGAGGGCTCACACTTATCAGAGAATGGAAACAGTGACAAGCACAAAACCTGAGAGGGAGGCCCTGGTGGCCAAGGGTTGAGAGGCACATGAGGTGGATTGCAGCCAGAGGCCTGACTGGAAGAGACCAAGCCTAGCTGACTTTCCTGGATATACTGCTCCTGTGTTCCAAAGAACAGAAGAAAGTGGAGAGGGACAGGAGAGAGGCAAGAACTCTTAACCATGGAGGGAAGATAGTTTTTGAGATTTGCGACCAGTTAGCATTGCATACAAAAGCAAAGAGATAATAGATTTTAGAAACTAATGGGGTCTTTGAGGTCTTCTTGTCCAACAATTTTATTTTGCAAATGAGAAAAGTAAGGTGAAGAGAAGTCAAAGCAAGCCCCTTGGCTCAGTTCTGAGTGGAGCTGTGGATGCCAGTTCCATACTTTTCATCTATATTTACTCAGTTGTGTGAGAAAGAGCCCAGGGCAAGAGGCTAGGTTTTATTCTAAAGGCAGTCAGAAGTCAAGGAAAGGAAATGATATGATCTGATACACATTTAAGAAGATGACTCCTTCTGCTATGTGGAGAATGGATTGGAATAGGGTAGGAGTGGAAATCAAGAGAGCAGTTAGGAGACTATTTCAGCATTCCAGGAATGAGGTAATTATGGCTGGGAAAGGGAAGATGTGGAGAAGCAGATATATTTTGAAGTTAAAATGTAGAAGACTTGATGGATTGAATGTGGTAGGTAAAAACAGAGGAGGAGTCAAAGGTTTATGGCTTGAACAACTGTGTGGATATAGGTACAAGTTAGAACGTGGAGAAGTGGGGAGGGAGTGAACATGTGATTGAAGGTTAGGAGGGTTCAGGTGAAGGGACAGTGAGGAGAAAATCTGAGGTAGAAAATGAAGATTTGCTGTCATTCACCTCATATCAACTGCTGAAACTGCCTTTCTGGATCCCTTGACTATGACCTGTTTCCCTGAGTCCTACTGAAAACCATAGGGCAGTTCTTTGCCACCAGGTTACTTAATTATACAGGCTGGCATGATAAAGTCTTATCAGTCGTCTGCTTTGGAAGGACAAGCTAAGGAGATAAGGTAGAGAAATACTGTTTCCACTTCTGTTTGCCTCTTATCCATATAATGGAAATAGAAATCCTTAGTGTTCCTGTAACCCAATTAAGGAGAACCTTAAGTTGCATCTACTGGAGGAGAAAGGGTGAAAGAACTTTTTCACAAATATGCCCAAGGAGACATTAGAGGGGCATCCCTGTCTAGCATGCTGTTGCCATAATTACTCATTCTACAAATATTTTCTGAAATCTTTCTACATGCTAGATCCCCTTCAAGACATTGGAAATATAGCAGGGAAGAAAACAATGTCCTTGCCTTTATGGAGGTTACATCCCAGAACACTGGTTAAATCAGTACACTGTTCAAAAATTTTCAATGATTTGTTGCCCATTTCAGCAGCATAAAATCCAACCCTCTGCTTAAATCAGACAGAGTCACTACTTGCTGTCCCCCAAACCACGTGTGTTCTTACCTCTTTGTGTTTGCTTGTGCTGTTTCCCTCACCTGCTTCCTTCTCTGTTCCTCTCAAGTCAGCCACTCTGACCCACTTGGGACTGATATTCAGTACCATAGGGGTTTGCTGGCCAGCATCCAGTTCTAACTACTTGATGCCTGTGCTGAACCAGTTATTCAAAATTTCGCTATTACCCCTGCACCCACCCTTCCAGGTGTAGCTGTGTCTCTCTTGAACCCATTTGTAGGTTGCTTTCTCAGCACTGAGTGATCTCATCTTCGTTTGAACTCATGGCACTCATAGGTTTATATTATTTCACAAAGCTCGCAGACTTTCTTGTGACATCTGGCATACGCTTGTTTGCATTTTATTTTAAAAATTTGGCAACGCTTTTGCCTTTTCTTCCAGAATAGATCACATGCCCCTTGCACAACTCAGACACTAGATATGCACTTATTAATTGATCAGTGCATGAGAAGGGACTCAGCATCTCCTGACTGTCTGCTGGGGAGGAACCTTATCTGCTCTTATGCTGTGTCAGTGTGCTCATCTTTAAGCAATCCCATCCTCCAGGGCCTTCTTCCACCCCCTGCTCCTGTCTCAGAGCCATCCCTTAGCACCTCGGGTTTGTGGGGGCATTACCATGCCAGCACCCCTTAGGATGCTTGGCTAGTTTTTCACAATAAAAGGACAGTGGGATGTCCTGCTTGCCAGCCAATTTAATGCAGGCTGACACTCCTGGCACACTGAATTAAGGTGGAGGAGCCAACCGCCCCAGAGAAGAGTCCATTTTTATGGAGATTAAAACAAGAAAATGACAGAGCGCAAAACACCTTTATTTTCTTCTTATGTTGAAATGGAAAGAAGACAGTAAATAAGCCAGACCAGAAGATAAGTTCTGATTGTTAATTGCTAAGGGAGGTACAGTGTTTTAATTTATCCCAGTTCATTTGTAGAACTAGGCAGACGAGGTACATGTTCTGTGCTCTTGCTCATGGTATAATGCTGACAATTTGAGAATTAATCATTTTTTGGGTGTTCCAGATTTGTTATTTTAAAACTGCAACTGCGATAGTGTTTTTTTCCCCCTCTGAGTAGAAGCTGAGGAAAAGCGTTGTACCCTTTTTATCTAAGAGCATGTGGCTACAGAGTCATGACTTCCATAGGGCAAAGCTGCCTTATGGATTTACTCAAATAATCCTCAAATTGTTTAAAGCAGGTCTTGAATACTTCATCACAGTTTGATAGTCTAGTCAGCTAACTGAACAACTATACTTAGAGTTTTAGTACAAGAGGCTCCTTGGGGCTCTGTAAAGCATTTAATATTCCTGTTTCTAATTATAAAGCTGTGTAAACATGCAGTAGTATACATTGGTGTAACTGATTCCCTGGCTGTAGGGGCAACATTTGATTCATTTTGGATAATCCTTTGGATAATGATAATTTCAAATGTAGGAGGAAGGGCTTAGCTCAATCAACCCATAAATCAGCCTTTCATTGAGCACTTCCAGAATGCCATGTACTGAGCTGGGAACCATGGAAGTTGAAATGTAAGGCAGGGGTTCACTCCTCCAACTGAACATTTAAATCTTTTGGGAAAGTTTAAAAAATGCAAATGCCTGGACACCACTCTAAACTTTAACCCCCTTCCTCTTCAGGCAATTCTAATAGCCATCCAGGGTTGAAGACCAATGGTATAAAGTATAGTTTAGTTTTCAAGGCACTTAGAGTCTAATTGGGAATATAGGACTTCTATTTATATCTATTATTTTATCTTTTTAGCCACTTAAACAGAGCATATGATAAGTTTCAAGTGAGAGCATATACAACATAACTACTGTGTTAAAGGGAGGAGGAGATCACTGGAGGCTGGGGGTGATCATGAAGGAGGTAGGATTTGAACATATGCTTTAAGAATGGGTAGGATATAAATAAACATAGTTGTGAGAACAGGGCATTCTGAGTAGAAGACGAGCATAAACCTAAGCTCAAGTGAGTAAGCTCAAGGCAAGAGTGTGTAAGCCATGTGCCAGGTATTAATTGGATATTAGTTGGAAAATAGTGAGAAATCAGAAGGGCCTGCATAGAGACTTGGGCCCAAAGATCTGGATCTGAATTCTGTACATTCCACTAAATAACTGCTTACATTAATAAGTTATTTCACTTCTCTGAGCTCCAGTTTCCACATCTGCCAAAGGTAGGACAATAGTTTCTATCAGGTTTTTTGGAACTGGTAAGGTAATATGTATACAAGCACTTGATAAACCACAGAGCCCTCCTCATTGCTAGCTATTGTTATTCTTGTGTTTTGGAGGGGAAGGCAGTGAAGCTTTTAGAGCCAGAGGAGTGATGTATAAAAGTGTTGATCATTCATCTGGTTTCTTCATGAGTGAGTGAAAGAAATAGCTGAAAATAAATATTCATCATCACCATTTACTTAATGTGATTGTGTTTAGTGACTTGGAGTCCAATCTTCAAAAAAGGAAGATCACCTTAACTGCCCATCATGGCTGCTGCAGGGGCTCTGCCTGGTAAAGCAGAATGTGAGTATCTACACTTATGTAATAACTCAATGCACAATACAGGACACTCCAACAGCTTTAAGGAAACTTTTCTATTAATTATTAACCCTCAGAGTGCTAAATTTATTGGCATACCTTGTAAGAATTCATCTCATTCCCTTTATTTTAATATAACCAACTTTGGAGAGATCTATGGCAACTTTTAACTTAGTGTGCTATTCAATATGGTATCCACTAACCACGTATGGCTATTCAGTGCTCGAAATGTGGCTAGGGAAACTAAAGAACTGAATATTTAATTTTAATTTCAATATAAGAGCTGATAATTCAGTTATTGGAAAACTTTTAAGCATGTTTGGAGCAACTTGGGTATGTGAATCTACTTTTTCAAGCAGACATTTTGCAAAATCTAAATACAGATCAAGTATTTCTGATAAAAATGTAGCATCTGAATTGAGATGCAAAATACATACAGGATTTTGAAGACAGAACAAAAAAGAATATAAAGTATTTCATTAATTTTTAATATCGATTAATGTTGAACTGATAATATTTGGATATATTTTTGTTTAAATAAAATATTCTATAGTAATTAATTATTGTGTTATTAAAATTAATTTCACCTCTTTCACTTTCAGAAGTGTGACTACTAGAAAATTTTGAATTAAATATGCAGCTCACATTATATTTCTCTTAGAGCTGATCTGCATTTGGCAACACTACAAATAATCTTAAATTTAGGTTTAGGTAGTATAATATAGTGCTGCGTATAGAGCTGGGATTATTAAGATTTCCAGTTCTGCTACACACCCTTGGCTCTTGTGACCCAAGGTAGTAAATGATAGGCCAGCTGGCTTTTGTCCTGGGCTAAAACTAGCGCACTGTGTGGATCACTTTAACTGTTTTTCTATTTGGATAATACAGCACGTTTTTCAAGATGGAAAGGGCAGAAAGGGAGGAAGATCCAGGAAGTGGAGGAGGAAGAATGTTCTCTAGTTTTTTGCCTTTGGGTTGTGTCCACAATTACTTAAATTATATTCGAGTCTTGATACTATGAACTTGGAATTCCCCTATATCTCCTTGGCAACCTAACCTACTCTGAGAAATATTAATGTAGAGAGATTTTTTTGTTGGAGAGTACATTGTAAAATCTTCCTGAAGGATGTAGGAAACCTATTAGTCATTTGTTGTTGGCAAAGAGGGTAAGACACTTTGCTAAAGGAGGGATAAAGAAAGGAGGGAAGTGAGGAAAAGTGTGTCTATAAGAGAAAACTCAACAGAATGCTTTTAAGTTGGAACTGAAGAGTTGGGTCTTAATGCAGGATGTGTGTTGGAAAAAAATTGTTGAATATAGGTTTTAGGAGATGATAGCATGTGCCACTTGAAATTTGGGTTTTACTTGGTTTTTAAATTCTTTTTGAAAAGAAATTAGAAATAAATTATGTTTTCTTCACTTATATGTAATGGAATTGAATGTAAACTATTTTATTTGAGGTTTCCCTTTAAAGAACTTCTATTCACTTTCTAGCATTCACAGCAATTTGCCCTAGAACTAATCAAGTGATCTTAGTCCCAGCTTCCCTCTCCTGCTTCTCCTCTCTAGGCTTTTCCCCTCTCCTAACCCTTCCCTTCATCTGAACTTGCTTTGAAAAGATCTTTCTGCACATGCACTAATATTCAAATCTTTATTTTTTACTTGTCTGGTGTGTGTTTGTTATTTTGAGCCAAGGAATTTTTTCCTACAAAATAAAACTTAGGAAGAGCTGAAGTATGTAAAACAGATAAGGTCTGAGTTGCTCTGATTGAAAGAAGAAAGAACCCCCAAGGCACGTGAAATTGATGAAGCACAATTTTAAAACCACTGCCATAGTCTGGATTTGATTCACTGTGTTATTTCTCTTGGGATATTTCTGTTTCAAATCTTATCTCTAATAATACAGTGTTAAGTCCTCTATCTTTAAAGGGAAATTCATACATTAGTGAGCTGGCAGTAGGGGGTGTTGGTGATTTATGTTGGCCTCTACCACAGCACGTATCTCACTGAATGATGTGGCATTTATTGACAATTTTTTTCTGGTATTAGGCTCTAACCACCTGGAAGGCAGGGATACAGAGTGTCTTATTTATTTCAGCACATTTAGCACCAAAATAGCAATCTGGGACTTAGTAGGTGCTTAACGAACATATGCTGAACTGAGTCTCATTGAGACTGAGGTAAGGCTTCCCTAACACCTCTGAAATCAAATACACAGTTAGGTGCCTAAACTTCGACTATATAGGCAAGGAAGGCCTTAGCCAGGTGGCTGTACATCTTTGTTCAGGATATCTTAGTAAATTTTTGTGAAGTCTCTGAAGAATGCAGCCTGTTACAGGAAGGATGGAAACCCTCCGAGTAAGGCCAGTTATTTTTGTTATGGTTATAAAAAACATTTGTTAGTCCCTGCATCTTTTTGGACACAGAAAAGATTTGCTCAGTGATTACAATCAAGAGAAGGCCAATGGCTGGTGATGTGTCACAGTTCCTGTCTTCTGGTTTCTTCACTTCGGAGGTTTACTAGAGCAATTATACAGACCCTATAAAGCATTAAGAGAAATCAATCATAATAGCATTAAACTGGTGATATGTGAAGACTGAGTTTTTAAAAAATATATAAAATAAATGTAAGAAAATACTTTAGGCTAGCGAAATCATTTGGCATTAGAGATTCATTTCCTTTCCCCAGGGAAATGTTAGTATTTGCACTCATGTTTTAGATAAGTTTAATACGACTATTTCAACCTCTTCATGAACTTTACCATAAAAAATTTGTTATTGCTTATAATGTTTTTTTTATTGCTTTTCGGGGATTTAGTAACTTGGAGAATCCAAAATATGAAGAGATTTTATTATTTGCAAATGTATTAATTAATTAGTTTTGGATAAAAAGAACTATAATAAGACCAGATTCATTCAAACTAATTTAGAAAGTTGAAATTTATCTTTGTGCTATTGAAAAAATGAGGATTGACTAATGAAATTAATTATATACACACTCTTGGGGAATAATTTAGCCCAATAATAATAATAACTACAGTAATAATAATTGCTCACATTTATGGAAGGCTTATTATGTGCCAGGCGCTATGCTCAGTGCTTTGTGGCCAAGTCCAACTGAATCCTCACAACAACTCTGTGTGAGATATATTATTATTACTATCCTCATTTTACAAATGAGAAAACTAAGGCTTTAGACAATAAAATAAGGTTCAGGAATTCAAGACCAAAGACTATGACTCAGGAATGAGAGCTATGGGTATGTATTTGCAAATAAACAAAGCCTTAATTATAAGTTTTTTTTAACAGAGAAGGAGCAGACCTTGACAACTTCCTCTTAATAATTGAATTTATAATGTGCACTTGGATGTATAAAAGCTGATGCTTATGTACTTACCCCATTGTGAACAAAGAAACAGAAGCCTCAAAGATTATTAACTGGATGGATTCTTAACGTCAAAGTTGTTTAATTTCTTATAATTTTAGACTGAGTTTGTTGAATATATACATATCCTTGGAAATTATAAAAATAAGAAACACGCTCTAGCTTTGCCTTTTCTAAGGCATTGAGATATGAGTCATCTTGTGCTACTTTGAGAATTTAACTCTTTGGTTCAAAGACTAATTTTTAGTTCCAGGAGAACATCAGAACAGCTGCCTCAGCATCTTAAATGACAATGAGGGTTCAGGATTTCAGACTTGGAGTTGATGTGTTGACATGCCTTCAGTGGAGCCATTTCAGAATCTGTGCAAAATTGTTCTCTTCTGGTGATGGCTGCCTTTCTCTGCCCCTTTAATAACAATCCCAAGGCTTTGCTCTGTTCAAGAATCTCATGGCTTGACTGTGTGGGCTCACTGTGGCAGTACCTTGGTAAGTCGAAACCTACTGTACTTGCCAGCTCCCCGAAGGCCATTAGGGGTGCCAGAGTGGACATAAGCTCCTCCACAGTTCACAGGCAGCAGATGGCTCTTGGGGATGGGGAAAATCAGACATACTGGTCAACAAGGAGCCCAGGTAGGAAGAAAATGCTACTTTGCGAATTTAACTCCTCTGTCAAAGGCTAATTTTTAGTTATGAAGGGGAAAATCAGAACAGCTCTATCAGTACATTAAATTACAATAAAGTTGCAGAATTGCTGTCTTGAAATGAAAGTGTTCTAGTCCGTTCAGGCTGCTATAACAAAATATCATAACATGGGTGGCTTATAAACAACAGAAATTTAATCCTTACAGTTCTGGAGCCTGGGAAGCCCTAGATCATGGTACTGGCAGATTTGGTGTCTGGTGAGGGCCCGCTTCCTCACTGGTGGACGTCTTCTCACTGTAGGCTCACATGGTGGAAGAGGCTACCCAGCTTTCTGGGGTCCTTTTTATAAGGGCACTAATCTCAATCACGAGGGTGCCACTCTCATGACCTAATCACCTTCCATAGGGCCCACCTCCCAATACCATCACACTGGGCGTTGGGTTTCAACAAATGAATCTTGGAGGGGACACATATATTCAGTTTGTAGCAGAAAGTGTTGATGAAATTCGAATATTTCACTAGAGTGACCAGGAAAACCTCAGAGGAGTGTCTGGGACTCACAAGGTATTCATGGCATCAAGAAAAGCAGCAGATATATATAGAAAAAAGCAGGGACCAATTCAGGAGACCAGTGCCTGTGCAGACTCCCAGAATGACTGACTTTAGAGGGCACTCAGGCCCTCTGCATCTTGGAGCTTAGCCTGTAAACAAAGACTAGATCATCTCTAAGGTCTTGTTTGGAATGAAGATGTGATGGTTTGTGTAAAGCTACATTTTCACCAAAAACCAGTGATTTAATTGTTTCACATATTAATAAATTATACTCTTTGTCATATGTCTGACACAAGGCAATATTGTAATTATAAGTAATAATAAGGGAGGTTTGATTAGTCAGAAGGAGGGGACTAAGGGAAGAAAGATTGTCATGAGAGGAGGAAAAAGAGGACAAGTTGTGGAGTCACACCTCAGAACAGCTCACTACCTTTCCTCTGGGTAGAAGCCTCCTCAAAGTAGATTTAGGATTTAGTTGAAACTTGATGAAACAGACAATTTTAATTCCTGAACATGTTATGGCTTTGAACGGTGAAATTTATATGAACGATTTTATCATTGACGTGTGACTTTGAGATCTATCTGTACAAAGAATATATACACTTCTCCAGAAGTATATGTATGAAGTCTTGACAACTATTTTTTATTGGAAAAAAGAAAAAAAATGCACCAATCAGTATCCTTAGAAATATGTAGACAGCCCTGAATGTAGGGGAAATACAGTGGCAATGTGGGAGCACAGGGAGATTTGAGAGATTTGAGTTTGGTAATAACTTAGCATTTTCCATAGATAAGAGTGGAAGGAAGGACAGAGCTAGAGAGCAAGGGGAGATGTTGTTCTTTCTAAGATAACTACAGAGTGACAATTACAATTGCCAGTGGTGGAACACCTTAGTAGATTCTTCTTCTTCTAACCTAGCACTTTTACGGTAGGCTAGAGTCCAGTCATTCTTGTCTTTCATTTCATTGCCCCAAAGTAAGAGTTGCTTGTGGCCCATGAGTCCACATGGGAAAAAGCAAGGAGAAATTTTGTGAAGGAATGAAGAGAGAGTTTGCTCCCAATATTTTATTATGAAATTTTCAAACATATGGCAACCTTGAAGGAATTTTAAATTAACTCGCATAGACTCGCCTCCCACTTCTTATCATTAATATTTTACTGTATTTGATTTATCACATGTCCATCCATCAATCAACATGCATTCATTAGTCAGAATTCAATATTTGTTTATAGTTTTTCTTCCTTTGGTGTAAAGCGTACTACCATGAAATGCAGAAATCTTAGGTGTATATTCACTGAGTTATGATAATCACATATGCTTGGGTAACCCACTGTGTATCAAGATACAGAACATTACCATCACTCCAAAAATTTCCTTCGTGTCCCTTCTCAGTCAATTTATGCCACTCCCTACCAAAAGAATCACTGTTCTGTTTTTCTTTTTCTCCCATATGTTAGCTTTGTTTGTGCTAGAAATTCATGTAAGTGGAACCACACAGTATGTGCTTTTTTGTGTAAGCATGCTTACTTGGCATAAAGTTTTTGAGAATCATCCATGTTGTTGTGTGTGCCAGTATTTTGATTCTTTTTTCTTGGTGAATTGTATTTCATTGTATGAGTATACCACAGTTTGTTTACTATTCTCTTGTTAATATACATCTGTGCTGTTTCTGGTTTGGAACTATTGTGGTTAAAACTGCTATGAACATTTTTGTATAAGTCTTTTGTGAATATATGTTTCATTCTCTTTGGTAAATACCTAGAAGTGGAATTGCTGGGTCACGGGATAAGTGTATATTAAGTTTTGTAAGAAATTGCCATATCTTTTCCAAACTGATAATCCTATTTTACATTTTCATCAACAACATATGAAGGTTTCTGCAGTTTCATGACCTCACCAACATTGGTTGTTACCAGTCTTTTTAATTTTAGGCAATCTGTTGGGTATGTGGTGGTATTTGCTATGGTCTGAATATTTGTGTTCCCCCAAAATTCATATGTTGAAATCCTAACCCCAAAGGTGATGGTGTTAGGAGGTGGGGCCTTTAGGAGGTGACTAAGTCATGAGGGTGGAGCCCTCATGAATAGGATTAGTGTTCTTATGAAAGAGACCCCAGAGAGCTCTCTAGTCCCTTCCCACCATGTGAGGATACAGCTGGACATCTGTGACCTGGAAAAGGGCTCTCACCTGACCATACTGGCATGCTGATCTTGGACTTTCAGCCTCCAGAACTGTGAGAAATACCTTTATGGTTTGTAAGCTACCTAGACTGTCGTATTTTGTTATAGCAGCCCAAATGGACTAAGACTGTATCTTGTCATGGTTTTGATTTGCATGAAGATGGAGTTTTTAATTGCTTAAAATTGTAGAGGTTAAAAAGAAGAGAGAGAAAATCTTGATCCTAAGAGTACTAAAGGAGGTAGAGTAATAGAAATGGGGAGCACACTGGCCAGACTGAAAAGCTAATTTGAATAGGTAATATATTTAAATTTTACTGAATCCAGGTTAAGAGGAGGAAGCCAAGAAACACTTATAAATATCAGAATCAGCTAATAATAAAGGAAATATATAAGGAGGAAATCTCAGACAAAACTAAATGAGAATGATGTATTCTCTGTACATAGTATAGAATTCTGTACATAGCTCTGGATAAAAAGAATAAATTAAAAACCTTAGGAAAATATGAATGAGATAAGTTATCATTATAATGTTGTCCATCTGTAGGTTTGTATATTTTTTTCAATGCTGTTTTTTATCCAATGCCATTAATAAACTTACTGAGTTTTATTTTGCAGTTATAATCTTATCAACAAATTGTAAGGTAAATATTCTTGAAGAAATGTACAGCTAAATGGATTAGTCATCAGGAAGAGAAAACACAGATAGACTTGTTAGTAATTTTTGTGTTCAAATCATGTTGTATCTTCTGTATAGTAACATTTAAAGAACTTTTAGAACTGAAGGGATTTCAATTTTGTGTTTTCTTTGGTCTCCCTGGACTTTAAAAATTTAGGATAATCTACTTTTTTACTCTGACCATTGTAAACTAATGTTTTTTATTTTATTTATTTATATATTCATTCATTTATTTATTGTTTGCTGAGGAAAATTCGCCCTGAACTGACATCTGTTGCCAATCTTCCTCTTTTTTTTTGAATGTGAGCCACCACCACAGCATGGCCACTGACAGACGAGTGGCATAGGTCTGTGCCTGGGAATTGACCCTGGGCCACTGAAGTGAAGTACACCGAACTTACCCACTAGATTACTGGGGCTGGCCCTAAACTGATGTTTTTTAAAGGAGCATTACATTAACTTCTTTTGCATCCACTTATACTGTCTACTTATAAAATTCACTTTTTATAAAATTCTGCAAGAGTCATAACTGCCTCCAAATTGTAATTTCATAGTTTTGCCATTTTTGATTAAGAAAGTACATTAACTACATTAAAAAAATAAAATATATCTGTTTCTATTTTAGGTCCTATGTTAGAGATCACCAAGCAAGATTTTTTTGAAGAAGCACAAGCTCTCATTGCACATCATAAGAAAATAAATGAGGTTAATGCTTTGCATTTAGCTAACATTATATTTTTCAGGAAACTGATAACTATTTTTGTATACTACAGTTGTTGTTCCAAATGATTGCATGAACCCTAATAGGTCCTGAGTAGAAGAGAAAATGAAATCCTTACTAGCCTTAAAAGTTGATTTCAGATTGCGTTTAAAAATAAGATTTTTCAACTGTACAGATTATTTACTTACATATGTATTTAATTTGCACATTTAATCCAATTTTAATATTTTCTTTTGATGAATTATAACAGAAGTACTTGGATTAAATATCTCAAGTAAATATCCCTCTTTAGACACGATTAGACAAAGCTAAACTAGAAAATGTACTGTGAGAGGCATCTCTCCTCTGGCCCCAGCATCACCCGCTTACCTGAATGTTCTTCCATATCTCTTTGCATTAGAACTGTTTACCAGTCTGATAGCTCTGTGAGGGCTGCCACTATCTGTTTTGAATGTTGTATCTCCAGCAATAAGCATTGTGCGTGGTTCAATAAATAGTTGCTGAATGGCATATGGAAGATGGAAGGTGAGAAGGAGTGAAAGGGAAAGGGACAGCAAAGAGATAGGAGAGTCAGTCCAGGGTGAAATTTCAGAGGAGAGCATCTGTAGAGGAGATGGGAAATTTGGGGGACGAGCAGCCGTTGTGACAAATGGGCCTTCAGGGAGACAGGTGGGAGAAGAGAATTTTAGGATGGTTTACTGTGTGCCACACTATCCTATGCCCTTTCGAATACTTTTTTTAAAAAATAGAATTTTAAATAAAGATTTTAAATATTTTTCCATGCTTACTGTGGGAAGGGGGGATTATAATTTTTACATTTGTTTCTTTTGAATGGTCCTCTGTGCTGAGATTGGCCATATGTGATTTTAATCTTGTAATCAATATTGTTAGCATTGCTTAAATTTTCTCCTCTAACCAATTAAAAATTCTTTTAAGTTGTATTGATTTCACTAGTAGACACATGGGATAAAAACTTCACAGTCTTTATAGTTACATAGATGTGCCTTACAACCTGACCTGTTTTAAAAATTTTATGCAATAATATAAACATAATATTCTCATCTTTGGTTGCTTGGCAAAATGTGATACTAGCATCCTAAAACCTCCTTTTTGGCATCTCGAGTTGGCAACAAGTTGAATTTGTCTAAACCTTTTTTTTGGAGGTGGGGATAGAGGGCGGTATAGCTCTTTCTATGGGCCAGAGAATGACTAGACTAGAACCATTATAATTATTTGGATAATTATGTATCAGAGACCTAGGATTGTATTATTTTTCTATTGCTCAAATTCATCAAAATTAAGTGATGGAAAGGATCTGAAACGCATATCCGATTATTAATATGTGTTTCATAAGAACCCTGCTCCGTGGGTGAGCAGTTACTTTCAGTTGAACAGAGTGAGGGATTTGGGGTGTTAGCATTTTATGGACATTTGAAAATTCTTCAAAGATGATTGAAAAAATTAAATAATAATTTAGTTAAATTTAAATAAATATATAATAATTTAAATAATATAATAAATAATAAAATAATTTAAATAATATAATAATACTTTAAAATAATTAAATTCTTATATGTCTGTTTGGAAACTTCTATTTTAAGTTGGGCTTTAAAGTTGTATTTGAAAATAGCACATTTGAGGAGAAAAATTTTAAAATGTACATTTTTTTGAAGTGGAGTGTAACCCTCATGCTTGTTAAGGGCTTTTGGAGACCTACGAGGCTAACATCTGCTTTATCTGATTACTGTCATGTGCTTTATAGTAAATGTCTTGTAAAGTACTTTGTAAAATGTATGTAGTGGATATAATTTTAATAATTTATTATATAATTTTATTATACAATTAATGTTAAAAGTAAATTTCATTAAACTTATTTTTGTTTTATTCGTAGAATAAAGTTCAAGGTACTTCTATAAATGTTTTCAGAAATAAACATCAAAAACCAAAATCTGGCAAATTCATACCTTTGGAGATTAAAAAAAAGGAAACATTTGATGTGGTCGAAAAACTTCAGAGGGCACACAAAAGTATTTGTTTTCCCAAAGATCTTTCCAAAAGTGAACATTTGGAGGAGCCCCCATGCCAGCCTTCTCTCAAGGAGCCACGCATTTTTAATGTAAAAGAAAAATACAAGAAACCTGTAGATCTAATTGCAAAAGGTAAGTTTTTGGTGGAACAAAGAAGTTCAGCAAACCAACAGGCCAAACTCTTTGCTTCTGGTATGCTTGTAATGGAACTTCCTTGTTCAAACAAAACCCCACACTTTAAATTTTACCAATGAAAGGTAGGAGGCATGATTAATAGAGCTGCTAAACTCTAGGGGCCACTGGAAATTGAGAAGAGAGCATCCTAATGAGAAGGAAGAATTTAAAGGAACAAAACTGGTTAGCCATATCTTCCAAAAGAGTGATATTCCTTCTATATACAAGTCCTCAGAGACTGTTTAGTTCACCGTTAACTAAAGCAGTCAGAGGTTTATGGCCCTGAGTGCTGTTCTTGAGCAGATAGGTAGGGTAGACAAGCTATTTGTGAGTGTGTACCTTCAAAAACCTATAAGGATTTTTGGAAAGTATTGAGTTTTCCTTTAGGACAAATTGTAGTAAAGGTATATTCTCTATAAGGAACTTGGTAAGGTGGAACCTGGACATCTATTTAAGCAAAGTAATATTGTTTTCCTTACACTAATGGCTAGACTAAATGACCTCTTAAAACACATTTCTAGTCATAGCTTTCATAACTTTATATACATTTTTCCTCTTTTGTTACTGCTGATTATGTTATGCATTCATCTGAATTTTTTTTCATCCAATGAGTGCCTGTTCTGTGCCAGCCACTATGTTAGGAGCTGGAGAAACAAAGATGAAAAGGCTCACAGAGTAATGGTGGGGATAAACATCTGGGTAATTTCTTATTATACAATTTGACCATTGCTGTAATAGAGGTAAGAGCAAAGCATTATGGTAACACTGAGGAGTAACCAACCAAGTGCCAGATGAAAATTTCTCAGAAGAGATCTCATTAGAATTGGGTTTTAAGGATAAGTTTGTTAAAGATAGGGTGGGAATAGGAGAGGCCATTTTGAGGAGTGGGAGCAAACTATTAAAGCTCTGAAGGATGAAAGAATGTGATATGTTTTGGGAAAGGAGAGATGTGGTAAGAAATGAAGTTGGGAAGATGGGTGAGGCTAGCTTTTGAAGGGAATATAATAGCAGGCCTAAGGTTTGAACCTGTGTGTAATGGAAAGTCAATGGTGATTTTAAAAGTAGGGGTAGGGAATGACCAGATATTTCTGTTAGAAAAACAAAATTGGCAGCAGTGGCTGTGGAGAGAATGGTGGCAGAGAGAGAAGTGAGGAGGCTGCCTAGGAAAGACATGGCCCATGTAAGAGATGGCAGGGACCTAAATTCAGGCAGTAGTGAAGCCTGAAGTGTGGAGAAAAGATGTTAGAGCAATGTTTCTCAAAGTGTAGTCTTCAGAAGACCAGTCCTGAGTGATTCACCTTGACAAAAGGGTTCTTTGGTTAGATAAGTTTGAAAAAATGCATTCACTTCTTGGAGATTCATATTGAGCATTAATATATTGAAAGCTCTAAGAAATACTGCAGAAAAGAAATCTGTTTACTTTTTTTAACCTGGCTATCACCAATTCATTTGACCAAAGAATTACTAAAGAAAGATACTGGGGTTCCTAGACTGGAAAATGACAGACATCGTTACATTGTGATAGAAATTCAGAGGGAGGAGCAGATTTTGGGCAAGTGGAGAAAGGGATGGGGAAGATAATGAATTCCGTTTTAGACCTGTTAAGTAGACACGTATATGGAAGTAACGGTTAGGAAGTTGGAAATGGAGATCTGGCACTTAAGAGAGAGAGAGGTGAAGATTGAAGATTGTTGTTGGGGGTCACTGCCATACTGAAATTGTGGGGTTCATGCATTTGTTCAACCAACATTTATTTATTATGTGAGATATGTAGAGATGAAAGATAGGCTATTTGTCCTCAAGAAGTTCAAATGTGATGTATGTAATTTTGTGTGGTTGGAAGAAGGAACATAAATAGATGATTATAATATAGTGTGACTGCTACTGTAATAAAAATGATCTCTACTGCTTTGAAATCAATAGGAAGGATACCTAATTCAGATTTAGGAATCAGGAATGGAATCCCAGGAGATTTAAAGTCTTTGGTAAATTTTGAAGAATAAGTATTAACTCAAGAAAGAAGAAAAGTCCTATCTAGTCAGATCAGAGGGCCTACCATCTACATGATAATGGGTCTACATATATAATGTACCTCCATGATAATGGATATCTGAGAAAGTGATGATGATGTATTTGAGGGAACTGAAATGATTTTACATAACTGAAACATGAAGATTGAGGAGTAATTAGAGAGGAGACTAGATATGGAAGAACATTGAATTTAACCTAAAAGTATGGAGAACTATCCAGATGTTTTAAAGAAAAGTTGCAGCGATCACATTTGCATTTTAGAACATTTATTGACAGCAGAGATGAGGTATGATGAATTCTGGAGCCACAGAGACCAATGAGGAGACAGTAATTCACATAAGAAAGGATGACTTGAATTAAGGTAGTGGCACTGGGGATAAAACTGAGGGGAGAGACTTTAGAGATATTTGAGAAGTAGAGTTATCTAGATTTGATCAACAATAAGGTGAAGCATAAGACACAGGGAAGAGCTGTGGAATTCATTGGCTTATGGTTTGTACTAGGTGGCAGGACAGAAACAGACAAAGCAAGTTAAAGGTTTGGAGATGCATATTAGGTATAGTAAAACTGCCACCAGCAATAAGTCGGAATCTAGACCATGTATCTACTGAGCTTTGTAGCTTTAGGTGAAGAATTTGGGAAACAGCATTATTAAAAAAAAGTTGGTGGTTATTGGCTGCCTTTGGGAAGTTGTTATAAAAAAGAGATGAATCAATAAAAGTATTGGCTGGTTTGCAAGCAGAAATGAAAGGGCATAGAGAGATACCAGGTATCTGGTCCTTGGTGTTGAGCAAATGTCTACTAAGACTTCTCATTACATCAAAAATCATATTAAGAGTGTGTCTTTCTCAACCCAGCCCATTATCTCACATAACCTCAAGGCACTTACTATTAAGTTGAGAGACTAAGGCAAGAAGTAAAGAAGTGAAGATACAAAGGAGATTTTAAAACCATATATAAAAAGTGAACCTTGAATGTGCTTATTGGCATGTAGAATTAATTGGAAGAAAATAGATTAAAAAAATCTACCAAATATTTTAGAGAATTTCATTGCCAAAGAAACCATGAACCTTGATTGAATTGACTGTTCAAAAGTAAAATAACCTGGCTTTCTCTGGAAGTGGACCACAAAAATTGTGCAGTCTCCAAGAAGGATAATAACATGCTGTGGCAAAGGAGCAAGGCAAAAACATCCCAGAGTGGATCCAGGGGTCACTAAAAAGAAAATGAATGAGGGAATGCCTCCCAGAACAGAATCATTGTCTGCTCAAAGAAGTTCCCCACCTCCAGGTTAGAGGGCTTCTCAGTGACTGACTCCCCAGCAGGATTCTATAACTTCTTTGGTCTAGTGATTGCTATGTGTCTTCTCTTTTTCCCTTTCACTAGTGGAGTTTTTAGTGAGGTTATCTTATACCTGCTCCAGTACTGGATGTTGTGAGCTTTTGAGGGAAGGTGGAAATAATTTTTGTATTTGGTACAAATTATTACTGGACCAGAAAGAGTCACATCTGGACCTTGATGGACAAACAGCCATAGGTCTTGGACTCTGAGCTGGATACAGTGCCTTGGTAGACCTTTGGGTTGTCTCCTTCGGGGAGAGGAAAAGTGTATTTTGTCAGGGAGCAAAAATGAATGGATATTTGATTTTAAAAGGGCGTACTGTGGCAGAGACTGGCTAGATGCTCATCAAACTTATTATATCCTTTTCTTCTTGGGTACTCGGCTAAAATATATTCCTCATGTTCCTTGTAGGTAGGTGGAGCTATGTGACAGAGATTTGGTTCAATGGATTATAGTGGGAAGTGATACACATTCATAAAAATGTCTTGTGTTCTCCCCACAATGTGGCTCCCCACATTTTCAAATATGCCGAGTGTTTTTCCATACTCTTAAATCCATTGCAGTTTCACTCATGGGAGTGTGGTAAAAGTGCTTTTAATATCTGTTGATTGAAAAACATTTGTTCAGACTCCACTAAATATGCAAAACTTAGCATGGGGAATACAAGAGTGAGAAAAAAAGGGTCATAACTTGCTTCTTCATGGAACTTGTAGTCTAGCTGGAGAAACAGATATAAATTAAATAATCACTTAAATACAGATTGAGAGTGCACCACAAATGAATTGGACCTGGACTGGCTGTCAGCAAAATCTTCCTAGAGGGAATGACATTTGAGCTAAGATATGAAAGATGAGGAGGAATTACTCAGACAAGGAGTAATTCCTGCTTGGAATTCTAGGCCATGGGAAAACTGTTTGCAATGGTTTAAGTGAGGGAAGCACAGTAGTGCTTTAAAAGAAGTGCAAAAAGAACTAATGTGGCTGCAATTCTGAGAAGGAGCTAGAGATGGGTAAGCTGTGGCTGTCTGAAAAAAAGAACCTTGTAGTCGGCAGTGTGCTAGCAAATGTTTAACAGCTGGCTATGGTGGGAGGAGGGAGAAAACCTGATTTATAGCTTTTGCCGATTTCCATGGTGTAAATACTCTAATGTAGTCAATTTCAAGTTACCGATGTGACATCACTGATTTCGGGAGTTGAGAGAGATGTTCACAATCTCCTCTTCTGAGCATTGTGGCAAACACCTTTCATGTGCCGCTTGAAATCCTCTTGGACTCACTTCTTATTTCAGCCACTGCTGTAGTGACTGGTTCCTGCTTCAGCCTTCCCTGACTCCTTCCTGGCTTGGCATACCCACAGGAATGTTCTCAGGACCGACACAGGAGCAACAAGGAAGGGAGGATGACAGCGATGGCTAAATGTTTCCTCCTTTCTTTCCTGGGCAGGAGCCTCTCGGTTACATTCTATAAAGCTTTTCAGAAGGTCCCAAACAGTTAAGCAACCAGTTTCTTGTAGTAATGGCCCACTCAAAAAGGATTCTGACATTAGTTTTCCCTTCTTCCTTATTTCCCCATCATTCATTTCTATTCC